GGATTCCGTTGTGGTGGTGAGCACACACACCCGATAGGATAAACCTCTCAAAAGATATGGGACTTAATGGTAGTCACTCTTGAGTGTGTCCTTCCTTACTGCCCAGAGTTCTGAGGTAGTGTCAAAGATGCATATAACAGGGCTCAGCAATTTGGTTCAACTTGCTTGCTATTCATTGCCTTCATTTTTAATGAGATTACATTTTTCTGGTTCTTGAAAACTTTGAGATGTAAGGATTGTTTTCATAAATTCTTTAGAACAGTAGTAATAGCAACACTGATGTAACTTTTTTAATTTTGCAAAAGGGCATTTGCACTTGCCAGAGAGATTGTCGTGTAAAGTAAAAAGGCATCCTCGCATGGAGAATGGTCACAGTCTAATCCCTTCTCCATTTCTCCTTCCTGTTGGGATTTTGGACATACATGCACACACACCCCTGGCTTATTATTCATGCCGCTGGATCCAGAACTCAACCAGAGGTCAGCCATAGGCAATTCAGTTACCTAATTCATCACTCCACTGGCTGGCCTGGTGTAACTTATTTTCCATGAAAGGAAAGATCACTGCCTATAATGCTGGAACAGAATTTAAACCAAGTGTGTATTTTGTAGTATAGATTTAATTTTTTAATCTATTTTGAGCGACTCATTTTGTAATAACAGAATGTCAAGTTAATTATTCAGACATGACAACTAGATGTTGTAGGCAATTCTGATCTGGATCTGGTAACAGAAGGGAAAAGTGCTATAAAGAACATTACTAGGTCAATTGACAAAATCGGACTATGTACGATAGATTAGATAAAAGCATCATATCACTATTAAATTTCCTGAGATTCCTAAGATGGCTGGTTTTACGAGAGAATGCCCATGTTCTTTTTAAAAAAGAAAAGATTATTAAATATTATTTATTCATTCATTTATTTTAATTTGACAAGAGAGAAACAGAGAGTGAGAGAGAGGGAAAGTGAGAAAGTGAGCTACCAGGTCCAGGACTTGAACTGTGGTTGGCCATGTGGGAGTGTCCAGTGCCTTAACCACCATGCCACCTGCTGTTCCCCACCCATGTTCTTTTTTATGATTTTTTTTAAGCAAGATTTTTGCTATAGGGTACGTGCACTTGCCAGAGAGATGGAAAAGAGAGAGAGAGAGAGAAAGTGAAAAATCACCCCCCACCCCGGGAAAATGGCCACATAGCAATTCTTTCTCCTCTATTCTCTTGTGATCTTGGACACGCGTGAGCACATGTTCGGTGTGAGTTTCAAGCCATCAGATCTGGAACTCAAATCATGGTAGGCCATGTGAGTGAGTCCAGTGATGTAACCATTACACCATCTACTGGTCCCCTTTATTTTTTTTAGAGACATTTTCTTAAGAAATATTCCTCTCTGATCAAATTGAAATAAATAAATGAATGAATGAATAAAGTTAAATAAAATAATAATAAAAACAAGAAATACAGGTATTTTGAGGTAAAGGAACATAATAGATATCACATAGTCTCAAAGAGTCGAGGGGGAAAAAACACCTGTATGTGTGCGTGTATTTGGAAAGAAAGAATAGTACAATAAATGGGATATTATGTTAATAATTAGTGAATCTAGATAAAGGATATACTGTTCTTGCAATTTATCTGAAGACTTGGAATTATTTTTACATAAGTAGCTTAAAAGTGTTATTTATTCAAGAGCTTATTGTATTAGGCTAACAATCCTTTGCGGTCTTATTTGCATTGTTAGCACGGTTGCCTTTCTGTTGTAGTTTATTGCAGAATCCGATTCAACTCAGAATTTGAATTTTAATGGATTCCAGTTCACAAGAGTTTTACTTCAGACTAAAAATCAAAAATTGTTTATAATCTGCAATAAAAACTAATTGACAGAACCTTTCATAGTGGATATTTTTTGCCAAAATTTACAAATATGGATTGTTTTAAACAAAGTTTTTTGTCTTGACTTCTTTAAGTCTTGGTTGCACGGAGAAACAGGGCAACAGCTAACATTTTTGACTACCTCCTATGTTCCAAATCCTTTGAGTTTGTCTTCTCATTCCATCTTTACAGCAGTCCTATAAACTAAGTAGTCGTTTCCTAGTTTCACAGATCAGGAAACTGAGTCCATAGCAAAGTTCAGAGGGGCCAAAAGGCAGCATGGTGGTTGAGTTGCCAGACTCCCACATGGCTGACTGCATTTTGAGTCCAGGACCTGCTCACATTCTTCCTCTTTCTCTCTGCCTCTCTCTGGTTAGCACGTGTACCCTATAGCAAACTTAAAATAATAATAAGTAAAATAAATAAAATTGTTAAAGAGAAAGTTGAGTGATATTCCTGCAGTCACACAATAAATAAATGAGTTGGGAGTCTAAATTACAGACATGCATTGCTTAACAGCAAGGATGCGTTCTAAAAACATGAGGCATTAGGTGATTTTGTCATTGTGCAAACATCTCAGAGTGTACTCATGGAAACCTAGATAAACTTGTAAGTTGGGAAGGTGGGTTGGATCCTGTGTTACCCAGAGGCTTAGTGGCTTGAGGGTTACTGCCCTTGTTGAAGAGCCTCTCTCCTCTCCTCTTCCCCATCTTCACCTCTTAGTGAAAGAAGCTGTTAGTTGTTTCCCCCCTTAATGTGAACTAGGTTATTAGCTTATCAATATGTGGTCATTTAGCCTTAGCCAAATAAATAATTTTATTGCCAAAGGATGTGTGTTCTAGCCAGAGAGAAAAGAGAAACACTCCCCAATGGGATATAGTTATGCTGCAGTCTTTTTTCCTCTATTTCTCCATCCTGTCAGGATTTAGGGCATGCATGCACACATGCCTGGCCTGTTTTTCTAGCCACCCAGGCCAGGATTTAAATTATGATCTTGCAGGATCTGGCTCAGCAGACATTATGCTTAACTTCTGTGCCTTGGGGCTGACCCTTGTGCTTCACCTTTAGCCCAATAGGCAGACTTCATTCATTGGAACTTTAAAAATCAAAGAATCAAGAAGAGCAGAAGTAATGTGCTGCATAAGAGAAGCTGAATCCCACATGGCAATCATGGTTCAAATCCCCAGCACAGTCAGCCAGAAATACATAGGGCTCATGGGAATGCCCAAGATTTGGTAGGCTGTCCTGGAAGAAAGGGATTGCAGAGTGAAAAGGCTTTCTGGAGGGTGCTCATCTCTTCCTTCCTCCCTCTGCCTGCCCCTCCCTCCCTCCCTCCCTTCCTTTCTCTC